CGATTCTGATGCATGGCCAGTCCGCTGCTTCAACCGAATCGATTATATAATAAGTTTACCGATTCCCGAATCCACCTGTCGAATCGACCCGATTTTATCAACATTGGAATATACTACTCCAAATTCCAACTATTAAGCCTACTAATATGAACTGTTTGTGCGATTGATTAGAGTCAGTTTCCCTTTAAAATATAGTATGTCGATGTAACAATAATCTAGTAGGACATAAGTATAGATCTAAATTCAATATGAAAGTCACTGTAGATGCATATTCCAGCTCAATAATAGCAAAAAATTTGGTGTGCAAAAATTGTCCCTCCGATAATAAATGAGGAGTATTTACGGAAAAGGATTATCCACTTTTTGCGATGGAAAAGTATTCCATTGCAAATTGCGATGGGTTTTGCGATGGCTTTCGAGTGTGCATTAAAATTTTGCGTTTTTCAACATTGAAAATTTAAAAATTACTCCATTTTTTGCGATAGAATTATTTTCCATCGCAGACTGTGACAGGTTTTGCGATGGCTTTCAGGTATGCACTAAAATTTTGTATTTTTTAACATTAAAAATTTAAAAATGCCTCTATTTTTTGCAATGGAATCCATTTCCATCGTAAACTGCGATGGCTTTTGCGATGGCTTTCGGGTATGCATTAAAATTTTGCATTTTTCAACATTAAAAATGACTATTTTTTGCGGCGAAATCCATTTCCATTGTAAATTGCGATGGGTTTTGCGATGGCTTTTGGGTATGCATTAAAATTTCGCGTTTTTCAACATTAAATTTTTAAAAATGACTCCATTTTTCAACATTGGGGATGAAATATATCATCAATTTTTACTATTCGTCCCTAATTCCGTCCTTTATTGGGACGAATAATATTGCATTCCTATCAGTAAAAGAATTAAAGACTGATTGCAGAAATTGAAAATATTATGTCCCTAAATCTATAATGAACCTCACAAGTAAATCTTTATTATAGATATTTAATTTGAGGATTTAGATGTCAAACATGTGTTTTGAATGTGATTTTGTATAGTCTGGCACTTTTCGCAAAATTATCATAAATAGTGTTTTCTGCCGAGTATTTTCTACCACTGTTTAAGCAACCGGTAGAGTCCAGAAATAAATAAATTATGTGATGAGTACATGAAAGTCCAATGTATGCGAAACAAGTCATGTCTACACCAAAAGTAATAAGTTTAGAAGTTTTACGGATTTGCATGCGAACAGTGCACAATTAGTGATTCACAATGTATTTTAAAAAAAGGTGCAGAAACCCAATTGTGAATTGCTAAAATTGTTCCTTATGGAATAAAAATAAATGTAAATGAGCTCAGAAAAATAAAATTAGATTAGATTTGATGAATAGTAGTCGTTCCCGGTGTGGTAACGACTACTATTCCTAGGTTGAGAACGCCATAAAGTTACTTTTGGAATAAATGAGTATGGACAAAGCATGGACAATAGATCAGTAAAAACATAAAACACCATCAGCCATCTTCTTTCTCATTTCATGGAAGCCATGGGAGGAAGAGAGAACAACTTGAGAAAATCATAACTTGAGCTGCAATTGACGAAATCGAGTCATTGTTCCTTGTGTTGTAGGAATTGTTGATCACCTTTACATTTGCCATAGGTTGTTTTTGTGTAAAAGTTAGTGATTGTGCTCGTTTGAGCTAAAGAAGAGTATTTGAGTTGTGTTAATTTTGTTGAGGTATGGAATTGTTAATTGTGTTGTTCACCTTTTCGCATTTTATTCAATTTTAGGATCATGATGTTTGATCCATTATACTATATATGGTCTGTACATATTTTGTACATATTTTCTCTTTTGACGCATGTACATTTTCATGCTATAGATACATATTGTGTGGGGCCTACATCTGTTTAAAAAAAATATTGTACGAAAATCGAAGGGTCTCTAATAGGAGAAAATAATTTTTCTACAACATGAGAGAATATTTTTCCAGCATTGCAAACAATCTTTTATCATAATGGTAGCTAACAAGATTTGAATACATTACACATTGGAGAAATTGAATGACATCAACGATGATACCATTGAATTTCTTGTGATATTTGTTTTATTAGTATTGTTATATTTATTACATACTTTTGTATAAATTTAAATCAAGCTTTTCAATCAGTGACACACCCGATTGGACTTCTAAGCCACTCATCCAATACCCCAATCAGTATATGATGGTTCTGGTCTTCAATACATTGGTTCAACCAGAATAGAATATATAATTGAGTAAATGTTCCTTCGAAGACACAACGCATTGAAATCGAATGATGGGTCGGGGCAATTAGAATGATGAAAAGTTAATTGATAAAGCTAAATTTAAATCTAATTTTTATTCAAATATAATATATTTGAATTTATATAATTAGTTGATGTTACATGTTTTTTTATTTTTCTCAATTAATAATAATTTGTATTTCATATAAAAATATAAAAACTTTAGATTACTTTCCTTAGAAGAATTTTGAAATGCTTTATTTTAAAAAATAAATCTACAAAAATATTTTAAGTAATAGATTAAAAAGGATGAAAGAGTAATTTTAATGAAATTATTATAATTAAAATGAATTTAAACTAGATTAAAAAGGATGAAAGAGTAATTTTAATGAAATTATTATAATTAAAATGAATTTAAACTAATAAAAATTAGTAAAGTACCTTTTGCATCGCAAAACAAAAATCACGGGACCCATTTTAATTTCTTAGAAGAAAAAAATCGACTTATCTTTCCTTTGAAATTCAAAATAGATTCAATTAGTCAAATCACGGTCCCTCTGAAATTCAAAGAAGACCCACCCACATTAGTCTCCCAAATAAAATAAAATAAAATATAAATAAACCCTACATTATTATGCATCATACACATAAATGTTATGCATAAATTTTTTATTTAATCAATTTAATAGAGTAAAGCTCCTTTCTGGTCCTTAAAAAAAACGCAGTTCCCAATTTAGTCCTTTACAAAAGAAGTTAGTCCCCAGGTCCCTAAAAAATTTAAAGTGGATCCATTTAATTTAAATCGTGGTCCCTCTCAAATTCAAAAATGATCCGCATTAGTCCCTCAAAAGGACTAAAATAAGTTCACTTTGAATTTCATAGAAATCAGGAGACTAATTTTTTTTGTAAGAGACTAAAGTGAGGATCGTATTTTTTGTTATGGACCAAATAAAAAACTTTACTCAATTTAATATATCAGCTCTAATATTTTGCACTGTAAATTTATTAACTTTAGAAAGAACACTATAATCTGTAGAAGAAGAAAAAACCACTACCAGTATTTTTTTCATATGCAGATTATATTCAACTAATATATTGATATTTATCTATTAAATATGTTAATAGGAGATATAATGAGTTTTGTCCATTAAGTGAAAAAGAAATAACGCAAAACTCCATGAATTTAAGATAATAAAAAGTGATTTAATATTTCAAATGATGATGTACTCCATTAAGTGATTTTTTTATTTTTTAAAATAAATTATAATTTACCCTGAATTCGAAAATGTTTTTAATATTACAGATGTACTGAACTGGTATATTTATTTACTAAATTCGATACATTGCTGGTACGAAATGGAGAAAGTTTAAAACAATATAAAGAAAAATATAAAAAAACAAAAGCTAAAGTGAAAAAAAATTTAAATTAGCGACTTTAATAAACGGAAATACCAAATTTGGTACATCGTTGTACCAAAAGTTTACTCCCACAATTCGTATACATCAGTTGTGTACATAGGATATTCTTTCTTCCTGCACTAAAATTAAAATTAATAATTTTAAATTCATACATAGTTTCTTCTTCACTTCACACACCATTGTTTCTTCGTCTTCATGCATAGTTTTCAATTCCATACCGTAAAGTTGCTTTCTTTTCCTTTCAGTTCACAACCCAAATGGGCATCTCTTTGAACAATGGGTCAGTGACTCCAAAAAATTAATAATTAAAAAATGGAACAAGTCGTTCATATTAATGGTGCATCTGTAATTATTTGACTGATAATACTCAAACATTTAAAACTTATTATTATATAGTATATAAAATAATAAATTAATACAAATTTAGAAAATTTTAAATAAAATTTTAAACCAACATAAAAACTAATAAAAGAAACTAAATAATAAATCATTAAAATTTGACATTAAACTTTATTTATTAAAAAAATATTTTTAATTAAATTATAAAATGTAAAAAAATCACTTTGAAATTAATTGTCTATTATTTTAGACTTTGTCCATGGCAACCTATCTACTGATTCTAATCATCTAATTTTTAAGTTGAATAAACGACACATTACTTTTTTATATTAAACGAAATGATCCTATTTGACATTTCATTTTCGCAATTTTTTTTTTAATTTCTATATACTTGCACATATTTTTATTTTTGAATTTCTTCTACTCAGTAACACAAACCAACGAAAATAAAATATAAAATAAAAATTGAATGCGACATATTTACCCTGCACGCTTCTCTCTAGATGGTCCTATAAAAAATAGACCTGATGTTAATACGCAATAAATTTGAAAATGATAGGAGCAAACTTAAAATTTATAGTACCCAAGTTTTTACTTTTTATTTCCATATCATTATCATATTTAGAGTCAGTTTGTTTCCCCATCTAAAAAAGTAATTTTTATCTTTTCCTTATTTTAGAAGTTCTTTTTATAAAAGTTAAAGCTATTTATATTTTTATAAAAATATTTAGTTTTTAAAAAAAAATATTTGACTTTTGACTTTTACTTTTTTTAGAAGTTAAAATTTTTAACTTTCAAAAAGAGTAGATTTTTAATTTTTTTTGTGACTTTTATTTTTTTTAAAAGCATAAATCAAAATGAACTAAAACTAAGATGTACTTTTTTTCAAAAAAAAAAAAATAACTTTTGTAAAAAAAAAAAAAATCCATCCAAACGGCCCTCAGAGCGCTGTATATAATACAACTTTTGGTTTACCCGCTTCTGTTACCTCCGTGTTTTTCACTTTCCCTTTTCCCACAACTTAATACCTTTTCACAAAACCCTTTGGGTCGATTTTGTCCACTGGCGCTTGTATCTCGCTAAAACCCTAACCTTTAGGGTGAAGGTAATTTTTTTATTGGTGAAGCCTGTGTTTATTTTTCTCTTTTTAATTTTGATTTGAACTGTGACTGTGCCTGTTTCTTAAAAACCCTTGTAGTTTTAGTACTGGAAAGTGTGATTATTTGTTTTGATTTTGATGAATATTTAGTCAGATGTGAAATCCTTTTAAGTTGGGAATGACATGAATTTATTTATGCTTTTTTGTCAATAAAAGAAACAGGAGTCTGTTATATTATTTGTGCTTTTTTGTCAATAAAAGGAACAGGAGTCTGTTTGGATAGTTCTCGAGGATTTTAAGAATGTTACTTCTCTTTGTATTGTATGGTTAACTAGGTTCCAATGGCTTAGCGAAGTATAGTTGCTTTCTTTTTAAAAACGAGTTACTGTTTATTTGAGTTTAGTATTGATAATAAGACACTACTGTGTAATGATGATTACCTTGGTATTTTATGATGTATAAACTAAATTATGTAGACTTATGAAGCTTGCCTCCATAATGATGTGTCATTCTTTAGTAGTCTAAACTTACCCCATTCTTATTTTCAATTTAATCATTTAAAATTGCTTGATCTCTGTGTAGTAAATAAGCCTATTTGAGATGTTATTTAAGCTAATTTTGCTGTTTAGTACTGGGTGTTAATGCAAAGGTAGAAAACTTGGATTTAAGCAGACACTTGTAAGTCACGTGGATTGATTTGTATACTTCAGCATTTTCTACAGACTACGCATTAGAGAGAATTTTTTGCGAAAGTATGATCAAAAGTCAAAAGCATGATAATAATTATTTGTTCACTAAGGTCAAACCATGCAAAATCACATCTTTAGTCCTTTCAACTACTTGGAGTGGATGGTATATATCTTAAATTTCATGCTTTCATGGTATCTCACTTCTTCAACAACTTTTCCGTGCCATTTGCTGAATATCAGTTTTAGCTTCAGATGCTCCTCTGGAATTGGAAATCTGAGTCAATATTCAGTTCTCTTTTTTTCTTATTAGGTCAAATGTTCATTTTGATTTGTTCTCATGGCAAACCTTGGAGTGTATTCTAGCATGATGGCACTGAAACTTCGACTCTGAAGTCTGAAACAAAATAATATCTTTCTGATTTCCTTCTAACTTGCCTAATTTACTCTGTCTCTCTTCCCCTCTCGGGTTAGCTAGTTATAAGTTAAAAAAATACAAGAAGGAATGAAGGATCAAGGAATAAGAAAATCTAGAAAAGGACTTACCTAAACTTCTATGTTTTTAATATTATTGCGCTGGTCAGCGTATTAATTGTGCCAATGGATCCTTTGATTGCTGGTACTATGGAAACATTTTAGGTTTCTCATAGATATCTTAACGTGGATCTTGATCTAGTGATTTGCTTGGTGATTGTTAACTTGAGGTCGGGGTTATGTAAGAGATAGTGTTCTTCTGGCTGCAAGGTTCTGATTTGGGATGTTCTGTGGAGTTTGATTATCTGTTTGTGCCTAATACAAGTACAACTGGAAAAAGGCACAGTTGCTAACTTGCTATTAGTATCACAACTGGAATCCATTTTATTGACTTCTTTATGGAAATGAAATCTTGTTTAGGGCAATGAAGTTAAGTTGCCAATTACCCAGTTTTAAGTGAGCAAAAAATATCTAAAATTCACTCAATTTATGTCTGGGTGGTTCCATTATTGTCTTTATTTCTTACGATATTCCTTCTATATGAATCTTTTGTCAAGAAATCAAACACGCACACTTTCATTGTGATATGCAAGGGCAATGGTATAACACAAAGTTTGCAATGCTGTAGTCAAGTGTTTGGTATAAACTGATCCCGAAGTCTATTATTGTCACAAAATCCCAGTAAGCTATCTGCTTTCTACTGATGCTTTCCGGGTCCCTATGACCCGAGCTGATGAAGTGTAGTTCTTCTGTATTTTTTGTAGGCTGCTTGTCCCATTCATTCACCAAAAAAATGTTGCATTCAGTTCTTTTTCTTTTTTTGGGTAGCATGCATCCGATTCTTTTACAATCAATGTTGTGCCTGCACTACTGGATGGCGAACATGTCTGATTTTTCATGAAAAGGGGAGTTATCTAAATGTTTGTTGTTTTCTTTTACATAATGCATGGTACTTATTTTGCAATTTCCAAGCACAGGACCATAACTGATTTTACATAATATTTTATAATAATATAATAGGTGATTTTTTTAAATATCAAAATATATATATAACTTAAAAAAAATAAAAAAAATTTGTTTATTTTATTTTTATTTAAATAAAAAAAGACACACTACGATACATAAGTACTATGAATGCTAATGGTTGGTTCTTTTTGCGCAGTTGGATATCTTTTTATTGACATTCTCTCGTGTATGATTCACACCGGCGTTTCTTTCATATCTTCATCTATCGTTTGAGGTAACAAATTACATATGTTTTGATGTAATTGCATGTTTTTATATATGTTATCCCATGTTCTGTAATATGTCCCTATCTTCTTGTGTACTTTCCCATTCTTTGGATGTTCCCTCTAAATGCATGTGCATGTCCCCATCTTCTGGTGTACTATCCTAATTCTCTGGTTGCTTGTTGCAATTGTCCCATGATAAATGCATGTGTTTGTTTTCCACTTACTTCATTAAGTGGCAATTGCTTGATGTTTGTTGGAAGTGTATTGGCTACTTATTTTTTGTGGCATAATATTTTCATGAATTGAATGCATAATTCTCTTTAAATTTAACAAAATCAGGAGTATGGAAAGCGGCAATGATAGGAGTTGGATGTACAATCGTATCAATGATAGAAGGCAATTAACTCGAGCCTTCCTTGAGGGTTTGGAAACGTTCATCCAGTTTGCTTGGGAGAGAAGAGTACCACAAAGTAAGGATATCAGTTGTCCATGTGTGAAGTGTAAGTGTATGAAATTTCAAAGTACGGACCACGTCAGGGTGCATCTGTGTCGCAAGGGCTTCATGGAGGGTTATGAATGTTGGCATCACCATGGGGAGATTCGACAGACGCCATCGTAATGAAGTGATTACTTCGTTAATTGGCTGATCTAGTTGACTCCCATCTCCTCTGAAGCTGATAGACTAGGAAAGCAATGACGTTGTTGAAGATTGATAAGTTTAGATGCATTGCCTTGCTTATTTTCTTCTTCGAAAACCCGCAATATTGGGAGAAATGGATTGAGGATGAGGTGTGAAGGATTAGGTCACGTGATATGCTAATGGAAGTGGATGAAATTTTAACGGATGTAGTTAATTGTTGAAAGTACAAGTAGGTAAATTAGTTTAATTGAAAATACAAGAGGGTATTTTAAAACGCTACTAAAGTATAAGAGGGTAAATTGTAATTTAGCCTTAAAATTTTAATTGAAAACTGCACTACAGCCTAGTTATCCCCTTCGAGTAAAGAAAACAGAAAATGGAAAAAGACTAATATTAAAATATACTTTACAACAATACATTGAATGTAAACGAGACTTGGTAAAATGGAATATTAATAAGTAATAACCACATCACTCATCATCAAAAGTAACAAGAAACTCTTTTTAATTATATATTAATTAATAATAGAAATTCATTAAAAAACACTATAATGCAGAGTGATTGAATAAATAATATATATCAATATTATTAAATACGAACTGGTCTTTAACTTATTCAGGGTAATGGATTAATGAGTCACCGATGTAACAAGTACATATGGTTGAACCGATTGAATTGAGTTTATAAGCATTATAACTAATAAGTAGAGTTGATATAGTGGCAAGTGTTGAAAGTACATCAAATAATGTGTCCCTAGTTTGATCTTTATTAGTGGCTGTTTTAACTAAAAAAATTGGTGCCGAATTGATAACGGTTGTATTCGATTTGAGAGTTGGGGATTCAAATTTCGGATGAACTGGTTGGACCGGTGTGTTCATTATAATTTTCACTATATTGATATATAATATATGAGAATAAAGTATCTAATGTTATTTTAAAAAAATTTATTTAATGTTCATCAAAACGACATTGTTTTGCAGTTTAAAGATTAAAAAATTAGAATGATAGAGATTATTATAATCTTGAAATAAATTAAAATCACAATTACATTATAATTTTTACCCCTAAATGACGTCGTTTCAGTGAATATGAGACAGTTTTTTTAAAGTAACATTAGAAAAAATAACTCATAATATAGTTATAAAACTTTATAAATAATTTTAATCTGATTTCTTAATTATTGGAAAAAAATTAATGATTGACCTATAAATAACAATTAAATATGTCATATTAACTAATTAATTGTAATAACGTAACGATTTAAACCAGACCAAGATTTATGCCACATGTTTGCCGGCACATGATGCTTTCCAAATTCCACTCGTGCGCCCATACATCATAATATTATACAGCAAGAGGAGAAGGTCGTATCAATAAAAACACAGCCTTTATTCGAGTTTGAAGATAATTTAACACCACCGAACAAAATTTGCAACTCAAAGATTTCACAACCCCACATTACCAATTTACAACAATTAAAAGATACAATAGAAAAAAGGAAACTGAAACCATAGAACAGGTCTTAATTATTTATGAGTTGACAACCGAACACTTAATTCGAATTTCCCCAGCGGAGCCTGTGAGGACCTGAATGGCTCCCATCCTCTTCATTGACTGCGCGAACTCTGTGAAGAACTTGTTTTGTTTAACCAATTCTTTAGCAATATCTGTTGACTCATCTTTTGTTAGAAGGGCAGCATCTGATTGGAACAGACCCTTTTTCTGTAGAAGGTTTGGATAATAGTCACTATCGAAATTGGTAGAGCTGCCAGGATCCATTTCTACCGTTGTTGTTGTGTCACTCAGGCTCTGGCATTTAGTCTTCAAAAATGCAGCATAAGTGGTATTTAATGAAGGGTCTTGATCACCCTTTCCCGTGAAATTATAAAGCCTGTTACTGAACGAGCTGCAATGACCTATTCCAATTGTGTGTGCTCCTACATTTGTAATATATATTCAAGTTATTAATATATTATTGTATTACTTACTACGAATATGATCTGTAATTCCTTGCATCCATATATATAATGTTATTATTCAGGATTTACATCAATGTTAAGACGAGTAATACGATTTATATTTAAATGTACCTGATAATACAACCAGATCGTGCACATTGAGATCTTTACTAGCAAAGCTTTGTTTGAGTTGGGTGAAGTTGAAGGTAGGTCGTGGGATGTTGGCCAAGGCTTCGCTACTGTTTGATACTGTGCCATCTCTTCTACCAGTCAGCACTTCCCACATTGTTTTATTGAACTGAAAATTTAATCGATCAGGTACATGCATAAACTAATTAATTAACAACATTAGATTATATATGTGATATGTCTGTTAACTTTGTTGTATAATCAGCAGGCATTAATTGTTTAGAAGAATATAAATGGTAAGCTTACTTGGACAGAAACAGCGTCCCTAGCTGCCAATGCCACAATGTCAGCACAGGATACAGTTTGGGGACATGTTGCTTCCACCGCAGCTTTAATATCATCAATGACATCAAAGCCAGACAATGTTAAATTAGGAATTGCATCCTTCTCTGCAGTATTATTTGCAGTGGAGTTCAACAGAACCGAGCCATCACAACCCTGTAATATTTGCAACCATGTTACGCATATATATTGTTAAGTAGCTCCAGAACAAGTTGCTCATTTTTGCATGTGGAAATGGCAATAAAAAATTTATAAAAAGAAAACATAACTAGTAAAAAGATATTGGAATATGAATGAAAATACGTACCCTGACAAAACAGTCATGAAAATGCATTCTAAGCAACTTGGCGGGCAAATTGGGATTGGCAGAGACATGCTGCTGGGTTTTGTTGTTTATGATGTCCTCGGCTTGAGGGCAGGAATGCCGGTAGAACTCCTTTCTGAGGCTGCCTCCTTGACAAACACCAAGGAAACACAAATGTACCACACAAGCTACTAGGAAAAACGTGATCTTCATTTTCAAAATGAAAGTCTTGCGTCACTTTCCTATTGCAGTCTTAAATGGAATGCTTGACTACGAGGACATCTCTCCCTTTTATAGGCAACATATGGCATCTTTCTAAGGTGAATTCAGATTAGTATTAAGTATCCTTTATGGCGTGGGAGAGATTAATTTCTAATTAACTTTTGCCTTTTGAATAGGTTCGGCAATAAATATTGTTAATTAATCCAAGTGTGAGTGAGTGAAGTCTTATATTGGTTAAAAACGGAATGAGTAAGCATCATATAAGTGGAAGTATCCATACACCTAGGGGTGAAAGTGGTGAGGAATCCGTGTGAGTGGGTGAAGTCTCACATTAGTTAAGAATTGAATAAGTGAGCATCATATAAGTGGAAAGATTCATACATAACTTAATGCTTTAAGGTTTTGGATTTGATTGTAGTATCTAAGCCAACTTAATGTCATTGCTCACTTCGCCAGTGAATAGCGGTCTCCCTCCACCATGAGCCCCTCGTTGAAGATCATAATCAAATTAAAAAACAATATCCTCTACTTTCCAATTCTATTGTGGTTGGAATATGCCAGCACTCTACAACTGTGTTGTATATTATCATAATCTTCTAAGGCCAACCCTCTTTTAAAGCTGTTTTTTTTATTTAAGCTTTGACTGAGCATATATATCACCTCGACTAGTTAAGTCATGTAGTTAACCCGTTGAATTTGCATGTCCCTTAATTAAATTTAGAACGAATCAGAGTGGAGTGCACATGCAGAATCCTTTCTTAAAATCTTTAGGTTAGCACACAAGTTTATGTCTTTAAATTAGATTGAGCTCATCTCTGACATTGCTATTACCTTACATTCATGGGAAATAATACTCTCATGCCACATGAGATTACATTATTTTCCTACACAAATTCGTTTTCCGTGCCAATTAATTTTTCTTTTCTTTTTTAATATAAAATATGGGACCCACATTTAACTTCTCTCTACTTTTTTTCTCTCCTACAATCCTATAACATAAGAAAACTTAAACCCTACATTCATTGCTATTACATTACATTGAAACCTATGTATAATTTCCAAAAAACAAATACATTGGGAACTAATCAATTTCCATTTCATGATGAATTATATAACCAGTTTATATTAGAATATGTTCATGGGGTTAGGACGTTTATTTGGAAGACGGTTATTCAAAAAGATAGAGCAAATACATAGGCTTCGTGTTGATTATATATATGAAGCTGGCAATAAAAATGTGCTTCTGATTGAATTCAAAGGCTAATTTGAAGATTTCAATGGGAGGGAAATAGTTAGGTCGGAGCTCATATTGATTCGTCCAGTAACCATATACTGACTTTGCTGTTTGAAGATATTTATATATTCTAGTCATAGATATGTCCTCGTTATATACAGTTGTTTCTCGTGCATCGAAAGTCACAACTCAAATTATTTGCAAGCCATGGAAGGTTATTCAGAAAAGAAAGATTCAAAAACCAAAGTCAATGCTCCTTAATTTGTTCGAAAACATCATAAAATTAACATTCGATCCTTTACAAATTTGTCTTCTAGCTAGACCCGCTGCACATGGATGATCAAGACTTCATAATGTATTGTTTTTTAAATACAAATGGTATAGCCACACTTCCCTTCTCTCAACTAACAAGTGTGAGTGGTTAATTATTCTAACAGAGGATGCGAGATGACACCTTACCATATAAAGATACAGGTTTTTTTAATATCATGTTTATAGTTTTAACTTGTTGAGATGATTGGTTGAAAACTTGGTTAGTTCCTTTTCTATTGCTTAGTACATCAAGAGTATATGCTTTAATTTATCTGTTCAACAAAACTGAAATGACAACCAATGTTCAATGCATAATGTTTAATGTATAATCGGTTCGTGAAGATATAGTTTGCTGATTCTCTGCGCATGCAATAGCTTGTTTCTCTTCAGGGAAAGCCGTGTGTTGAATGTTGATTGAAGCTTTAATAAAAGAACCTTTCATCAATGCCTTTATAAATTATAATGTCCTGCTTTTGATAAAGAGGTTACGAAAAAAAAAGAGAGTCTACAAATAAGTTGTGGGGCTTGGGATAAGATTTGTTATTTTATATTTTTATATAATGGTAACAGTAAAGTTTGAATATATGCGCCATGCAAGCTACTCAAATTCTACAATATTAACCAAATATTCTCAGGTGAAAACAGAGACAAAATTACAAACACCATTAATCCAATCCTTTCGAAAATGACAATGAAAATAAGGTTAAAAGTATATGGTCCCTCTAGCAACTAAACTAATTATAACTATGTATTTTTGGAAATATATAATTATAATTTCAAAGTTATTTTTTTAAAAAAAAATTATTTACTAATATGAAAAGAGAAAAAAAAAATAATTTTCTTATTATTATAACTGTATATTCCCGAAAATATATAATTATAATTAGTTGTTGTAAAATATATTTTTTTTTTGCAACAACATAATGTACATTTTCCAAAATATATTAAGTAATATTTATTTATAAAAAGTGAATGATCAGTAATCATCTCTCCAAAATCCAAATGGGAGAGAATATTCGCCTCTATGCCCAATGATGGACAAAGAGGGGCTGTGGGATCTTGTTCCCAAATTGCTTTGAAAAAAATGTCCAAAATCTCTGTCTAAATCACATTCCTTCGGCTCCCAATATTAATTGCAAAATAAATAAATAAATTCAATGCATGTATACAATTTATTCAATGCCGGTTGTAGGGCAAAACAGTCTTGTCCAATGTAATATTCTGAAATAATAATTGTATTAAAAAAATAAAAAGTAATAAATATATATATCTATATATTTATATGTATAAAATAAAATAATAATAACGATAACATAATATATATACATACATATATAAATATATATATATATTAAAGTATTAAATAATTAAAATAGTATAATAGTAATAATAAAAAAATAATAATAATATATAAATATATATATATATATAAAGCGGCTCTGTTAATAGGTTACGTAATATATATATATATATATATATATATATATATATATATATATATATATATAAGTAAAAAAAAATAACAATAACAAAATTGAAGCTTATAAAAAATGTGGATCCTTCTAGATATATAGCAACGTGTAATAAAAGGGATCAGAATGTTAAGACTTTTGATAGATGCAATTATTACGTTCTTAAAGATTAGTTAGATTTAAACAAAATTTTAGTTAGTTTAGTTAGAAATCAATTAGAGGTAATCATTAAAATAGTCAAAATAGTCAAAAACAATGGCCTATGTATATGTGTTCATATGAATCAGAAGAAAAAAAGAAGAAGGAACACAAACGTAAAAAAAAAAAAAAAAATCCGAAGGAAAAGAACAGCGAGAAGGAGAAGGAAAGGGAGAGGAGGAGAGATAGGAAGGTAATATTGAGAGATAAAAATTTTCTCTCATTGTTTTTCTTTTCACTATTTCTTTTAAAGATTTTGTTAGTACCGTTACTTTGCCAATTTCTTTTCTTAAAATTCTTTTCTACTTGTTGTTATTCCTATCTTTAGTTTAATTAATTCATTCTAAAATTCTTACCGTTGTTTTACGTTAATTTTAATTTTAAACTAATTGATTATTTGGTACCAAATAAATGTGTAAATTTTAACTGTATGTTACTGCTGTGAACTGACCCATAAAAAGTTTGGGATCAGATAGTTAGGGAAAGGGACGCCTTATCATGGCTTGAGCTCCGCCACACAGAACTTTTAACATGCAGAGACCCACAAAGTTGGGTATTTAATTAGCTTAAGTTAAATATTACACAATTTATTATTTATCTTTATTCCTGCAATAATTTTATGAAATTACTTGAGAGAATGATATATTTTCCGTTAATACGGCTTGAATGGTTATAGTTATAAAACCTCAATATTACTGAGAATTTTCTCACGTTTTATTTGCTTTGCTAATCTTTCCAGATGCCTAACTTGTCCTTTTGTGGAGAAGGATAGAATATTACTGTTAAATTTTATAGTGACCGTTGGGAATACTATATTGTGATGGGGAATCAAGGAGCTGTAGCTGTATTTTATCATGACAGTGGAGACTTATGCGTATACTTTGGACTAAACAAGGATCATGTAATAGTGTGTGGCTGAAGAATGTTATATATATATATATATATATATATATATATATATATATATATACAGTAAAGTAATGTAAGTAATGTAATCTGACGTAGGATGTAGGACTTATGTAAAATAATGATGTAAGTTAGGAAGTAGACTAAATATATATATATATATATATATATATATATATATATGAAGTTTGTACAAGTTTATGTACGAATCCACATCCATGTTTATAAAATGAAGGATGTTAGTTCTAGTTAATTAGTTTTCTTCACATGCGTTGGCACAATCTGTTACGTTTTTGTTTTACTTTTATTAAAATGAAGGATGTTTCATTTTATGGTATCAGAGCAGCGGTTCAGGTAAGTAAAAGATCTAAACTATGATAATTGCTTGGTATTTTGTCATTTATCATGCATATTTTAAGTTATTTTAATGAGCCTGATCAACTCACTATCGTAAAACAATATATGTAGATCTATGGCAGATACAAGACAGATATCTTCTTCAACTTCTGAACCAGA